TTAGGAGAATTTAAACGTTTAACATATCATACACCACTTTTAGAAACAGAGGTATTTAAAGAACATTCTCATCAAGTTTTACATGTTAGTTTCTCACACAATGGAAAAATGTTTGCTACTTGTTCAAAAGATGGATGCATTTTTGTAAGTTACTTCTGTTTTATAAAACCTTTTATATGGATTCTATATTTAAAAACAAAACTTATTGAATAATTTATTCAAGGTTTGGGAAAGTCAATATCCTGTTAAGATGAAGTATTTTCATGACATGAAAATATTTAGTTGGAAATATACACAATTTTCACAGTTTAATTCTTCTGATACTTTGTTACTTGTTTCTGGTGTACGCTTTGGAACTGCTCTCAGTAGTTCGGGTGAAATAGCAATATTTAGATTAGCACGTAAGGATATCAGTAAATTGTCTATATTTTTAAATTAATAATAAAGAAATATGTTTTATTAAAAAACATTTAATTTTATTTATTATAGCTGGTTTTGATCTTCAGTGTAGAGTATTAAATAAACCTTATGATATATTTGGAACATGGTACAGTGAACATTACTTTTTAAGTGGTAATTTATGTTGGTTAGCACATTTAGTTAGCACTAGTCTCCTATGGCTAAATAAGGCAAATCAAGAGACATCTAGTGAACATATACCTATTATGATTCAATTACTCAGGTACTGTATATGGCAAATAGCTTTTTATATTATGAATATATATTATAAAAGCATTTTTTCAACCATGAAAATATAAATATTTGATATATTTTAGATTTTATAATTGTAATGCTGCATCAGTTCGAGCTATAATGGTGGCTAATTGTTTAACACCTGAACAGAACGAATCTGAAGAGCAGCTAAATCAACCTTCATTTTCTAACATTAAAGAAGAAAGAGGAAATTCATTAAGTCATAAAGATATTTCATCTGCATCTTCTAGTGATGCTGTACAAGAAGAACCAGTTGTTCTTTGCCATGCATCATCCAGACTACAGTAAGTTAATGAAAAAAAATACACTTGTAATTCATATATCACTTAGTTTAAAGATATGTAAGAAAAATGACTGACATGATTAATTAAAGCATGTACAAATAGGTATAGTACATTGGAAGGTGGATTTATGAATTGGAAGAAACTAGGTGATGGTTTTGAATATGCTAATCCTATACAATATAATCAGGAATATAGACAAGTAGAAATAGCAAAAGAAGTACAAGAAAATGATAAAGAAAATGAAAATTCTCAGTGTGATGAAGAGAATAAATCTGTAAATAAAGGTAAGTTATTGCAAGTTAAGTTATTATGGTATTCTTAATAAATAAATGAACTAATATTTTTTGTACAGAATTGCCAAACATAGAAGAAAATGATACAGATGAATTATCAAATAGTTGTGAAAAATATCTTATTTTTACAACTGGATCAAAAACATACACACCACATCAAGTAGGTTTTAAAAGAATTAAAAATTTCAAGTTTCCTACACGATTAGATCCAGGACAGTCATTACGTGAAAGAATAGCACAAAGAGCAAGAGAACGAGAAAGACAGAATTCCTATGCATCTTTTACTAATTGGTTGGATTATGAATCTGTAGCTGATCAGTTTGATAAAGTAGATCATTTAATTGATCTACATGGACATATTATAGGAATGGGACTTTCTCCAGATCATAGGTTAGTTATTTATATTGTGAATATATTAATATATATTTTTATTGAAAATAAATTACATGTTTGTCACTAGATATTTGTATGTAAATACAAGACCATGGCCACGAGGTTACGTTATTACAAATCCATTACAACCTCCGCCAATAGCTCAAGAAATTGATATACATGTAATTGATTTAGTAACATTAAAACAAGTTGGTACTATGCTAAGAGCTCATAAGGCATATTCGCCAAATAATGAATGTTTTTTTATCTTTCTCGATGTATGTAATGAATATGTAGCAAGGTAAATTTAATCAACATATTTAACAATGTTATTTCGTTATAATTTAATCTTATAATATTAAAATTATGATTATTAGCGGTGCAGAAGACAAACACGCCTATCTCTGGGACAGACATTACGGAATATGTTTAACGAAGTTTCCTCATTTACGTGTTGTTAATTCTGTTGCTTTTAATCCACGGGATCCTGAAATGTTAGTTACAACTAGTGATGACTATACTATTAAAGTTTGGCGTAGTCGAGCTGCAGTTCGTTCGTTGGGATTAAATGAACATACTTTCCCTAGAGGTATGGAAGTACGTAACAGACAAAAATATCGACAAAGTAGTGGTAATGTTGACTGACTAAAAGCTATTAAATTTCCAATTTAAATTTTTGTTTAAAATTTTAAAAGATATATTATATTACTTTATTTATATCTTCTATTTAAATTTGTAAAATAATATTTCTATATAAATTTACAAATTCTATTTTCAATGAAATTAGAATAGATATATATATATATACACACACATATGATCTATAACTGTTCAGGCATTAATTATTTTATTTACATTAATTAAGGCATTAATTAAGCTATATAATATTAGATAAATATTACTCATAGAATACTATTTTTAATAACTCGAGAAAGATTTATTCTTTTGTACAATGATGTTTATTGAATTTGAGATATTTATAACTTGTTTTATAAAGAAATCCAACACTCGTAAATATTGTGGGGTTGATCCATTCATGTAATTTTATTATTCGTCATTTTACTATCACAACTCTATATGTATCTGAAAATAAATTACCTTCAGAAATAAGTTGTATGTTTTAAAATAATTGTAAAGCATAAAAGTAAGAATTTTTTAAATTTTCATGATATACTTTAATTGACAATATTTTGTACTTAAGTAATTTTCTGACTGATAATCTTAAATTAGTTTAGAATAATTTTTGATGATATACAAGTATTTAATATGTATAACTATCAACTATTAAAATAGTTTTCATGAAAAAAAAAATATATATATATATATATATATATATATATAAAAGATTAAATTCTGTTGCAACAATTTTACCTCTGTAAAGAAATGATAAATATTGGTTTATATACATATATATATAAACAGTGTATCATCAAATCTGTACAAACAACTATTTATAATTAATGTTTTCTGAGTAAGAAAATTTACTTTAAATTAGAATAAAATCTACATTTTAATAGCCATAATGATATAATATAAAACTACATAAAAAGAAGGTACTTTAGTAAAAACAAAATACATATAGACAAATATTGTTACATCAAAAAGAAAAACTAATTTAAATAAATATAACTTTTTGTTACTTATATTTAAAATATTTGTCTATCCAAATACTATATTAGAACAAGAAATATATGTGCAATAGATATATCATGTATAGCTAAGAATTATTCAAGACTCATTGGGATTTATGTTAAACATTATGATTATTTTCTTAAGTGTTTTGAATTTATTAATAAGTTTTTACAATACATAAATAATGTTTTTACAGTTTCTTTTTAAATAACTTTACTACTCCTGAGAAGCTATAAAGTGTTATGCATATTCTATATTAAATGATATAGGAACTATAATTAATTCTACTATATTCGACGAAAAGTGTATATATTTTTGCTTTTGAGTTATTTAATGAACATTAGCTATCGTTGATAAGTTTATTTTCATATAATCATATAATATATAATATATAAATATTAAATGATGTAACAGCAATTAATCACGCAATTAATAAAAATCTATATTTTCCTTTTCTTTCTTTTCAATAATGATATGCCTTATCAATACCTTTTTATTAAGAATATAAATATTGCAAGTTACATTTGCAATATTTATTCAAAAATATTATCGTTAATAATAAGAATAAAAGTAATATAATTACATTTAAAACTGATGCTTCTTTGATATTTCGAATTTCCTACAAAATAACTGCATATTAATAGCTTATCATATTTGATACCATTCAAAAATGCATTTAAAGTTACATACCTAATTTTCATATTTCTCTCTTATACAATATTAATTCAAGAAGTATATCTTTCCATTTAATTAAATTATATCATTAACATATTTATGCATTTACTATTGACTCTGTAAAAGATTTAAAAATATTTTTTTCATATTATTTCTCTTTTTTTTTATTATTTAACTTTTGTAGATATAATTTTATCTAATAACATTACCCGAGGTAGAAGATATTTCTTCTTTAGATGTTTCTGCATTATGTTGTACAATTTTCTTATGAGCATCTTTGTGTCCATGACAATGTTCACATTCATCATCGCTATCTTCAGAGCTACTTTCACAGAAACTTTTAGGTTTTTCATAAATACAACAACCTACAATAATATATAAATTATACATTTTATATTAGAATTATGTTAAAAATGAACGTTAAATGAATGTTAAATTCTAAATAATTTATATTTACATTTAGATTTCTTTTTATTCATATGTTCATTATCCACAGTGCCTTGAGTCCATTGAACTTTTTTGTTTGATCTTGGTTTTCTAAGACACAATCGAACAGTTGGTACATCCTGCAAACAAGCAACAAGTAAAATATCTTGTACCTTATAGATTTATATACTGTTGTAGAATTTAATGTTAACAGGAATCTTACAAATATATGAAAAATATTACAAAGTAAATATATTTCAAAATATATTTATTTTTCTTAAATTGAATACATTATTTTATGTTAGTAAGTAGTTGTAGTAAACAAATATAATAAAACTATTATAATAAAAAACTATATAAAAATTATTTTAAAAATTATTACTAAATTATTATATTTTAAAACTATTTTATATACTTTATAAATAACAAACACTTTATTGCACAATCTTAGTTTTCTTTAATGTTTCTATTTTATCATCAGTATAATTTAAAATATTTTTTAATATTTCAGTAGTATGTTGACCTAACATAGGAGGAGCACATCGAACTTTATTTGTAGCATAATTATATGTTACAGCAGGTCCCACAACTTTAACTTTTCTTCCACTAGAATCTTCCAATTCTTGTACCATTTTCATGTATTTTACATGAGGATCTTCAAACACCTATAAAATTCTCTTGTATAAACACTAGTTTTAAGTTATTTAAACACGAACATTTATGGTTTTGTACCTGTCTTATTGTATTTACTGGACCATATGGGAATGAAGCACCTTCAAAAACAATTTCCCATTCTTTATTAGATTTTGATTTAAATTTTTGTCTGAGAATAGGTAATAACTCTTCTCTATATTTCACTCTATTCTTGTTATTTTTATATTTATCTGTCTTAGATAATTCTGTTAATTGCATCCTTTTAAGTAAATCTAAAAATTGTGTATCACTTCCAGTTCCTACAGTGATATAACCATCTTTTGTATGAAATGCTTCATAAGGTACAATACTTTCATGTTCCGAACCCCAGCATACTGCTTCTTTATTAGCATTTAAATAATTTGATCCAATATTTATCAAACTGGCAACTTGTGTTGCTAATAAATTACACTGAATCCACTGACCCTTTTTTGTTGCCATTCTTTGATATAAAGCTGCTAATATTGCACCATGGGCATATAAACCTGTTGCTATATCAGTTACTGCAACTCCAACTTTACATGGTGGTCCACCTTTTGGACCTGTTATATTCAATAAGCCACCTATAGAAGCAGCAATCACATCATATCCTGGTCTATTTGTATAAGGTCCTTCATATCCATAACCAGTCAAAGAACAGTATATAAGATGCGGTGCAACTTCAGAAATATCTTCATATCCTAAGCCCATGTTTTTCAATTTCCCTGGGATATAATTTTCTATTAATATATCAGACTTTTTTGCCAATTCATAAATTATATGTTTTCCTTCTTTCAGATTAATACATATGCTTTTTTTGTTTCTATTAACGCTAAGAAAATAAGTTGCTTCTTCAGTTCCTTGTATAAACGGAGGACCCCATTTTCGTGCTTCATCTCCACTATTTGGTTTTTCAATTTTTAAAATTTCTGCACCAAGATCACCAAGAATCATAGTACAATAAGGCCCAGCAATAATTCGAGTTAAATCCAAAACACGAATTCCAGACAGAGGTGATTTATCATCTTTTTTAATTGTACATAAGTATTTTTTATTTCTAATATTCTGTATATTTAATAAATGTCTTGTCTTTATCCATTTTGATACAAAAATAAACATTGTGTACTTCTTATATCTTAGGTAAACAATTATTTTCACAAAGAATTTTTATTGTTCACTATTGATTTTTTTCACTGAATTAATAATCAAGATCACTAACAAGATGAAAAATATAATATTATTAATAAAACACTTTTACACTGATAACAAAACTTGTGTTATATATTTAATATTGTAGAAATATAAAAATTACAGTTTTGGATTGAAACAATTCTTATCATATCAAAATAATGACGTAGTTACAATAAAACTAAGCATACCTGAGATGCAGAATCTGTGACATCTGTTTCTAAAACGGTTTCTGTTTGCATTTGAGCAGCTGATTGCTCAGATGTTACTGCTCTCTTCATTTGGAATATGCTTTTTACGAAATTACACACCAAAAGTACAATTTATCGTAATTTTATATTACGGTTAATTCACATTGTCATTATTCATAATCTGATAAAAACGACGCCATGTTTAAAACTAGTGTAGAACTGTTTACTATTTCAAATATATTTGAACGTAAAAAACTATTTTTTAATTCATATATTATAAATAGTATAAATTTGTATAAATACATTTTTGTATTATATTTTACTTATATTAATTTATTTATAATTATAATTTACAATATTAAAAATAATCTTAAATATCTTATTAAGCTCGAAAATAGCAGAAAAATTTGTTGTGATGAAGTGTCATTAAATTCATGTGAACTTTTTATGTGCATTATAAATATCGATATATACTTGTCTATTATATTTAAATTATTTTTAAGGCAGATATTATATCAGTTGTAATTACCGTCCGTAAAAACGAACAATTTGCTAAACTGCCGTAAGGTGAATGTATATTTCGATGCATTTATACGACTTCGTATAAATACTTGAAGTCTAATGCCCAATTTTATTCAGAAATATATTTTTAAATTAATAACGACAAGTGAGATCACTTCGATTTAATAATACCTTTTAGACTCTGTGAATATGGAGGTAAAATTTCATTCTAATTATAAGGAGGTTATGTGATTGTTTAAACCACAATGAATATTTTAAATATTTATTTAATCAGATGCATGTTATGAATTTAGTAATTACATTTTTTCATTTTTAGCCAGTTACCAAAGTTCCTTTGCCATTAGAACCCATCAAATCAAATCAAGTGGAAGACAGAAGATTATGGGTGGGCAATCTAGATTTAAGAATTAATGAGTAAGTATTTACTCAAATTGATGATCATGCCTTTTTTAACATAGTGCTTTACTATTAGAAAGCAATATAATTTCTTTGTGCATTGAAAAAATCTGAAAAAACTAACTCTTTATCTGTTAACTGGTACCAACTCCTAAAACTCGTCCAAAAACATGGAACAATCGAAAAGTTCGACCTCCTGTTTCATCGATCAGGCCCACAAGCTGGTCAACCTAGAGGTTACGCATTTGTCACATATAAAACTATTCAAGATGCTAAAGCAGCCAAAGATGCTTTACATAATTTAAAAGTAGGAGCAAAAAATATTATTGTCAGATGGGCTCATAGTGTAACAGAGGTAAATATTTAAACAGCAAATATCATATTAAAATATTAAGTTTTCTAGTATAATTACTTCTTTGATAAAACAAAATTAAAATCTTTAAATTAATAATATATTATATTTCATTGTTACATTAATAAGTTAACATTATAATGGTTAACATTAAAGTATATAATGTAATACTAAAAATATTTGTTTTATTTAAGTCTGATATGGATAAACCAAAACCAAAAATAGATATACCTGCTCTAGCTGGAGCTAAAAAAGAAGATAAAAGAATCAGGTAAATGTTAATTATATCAAATCAGGTAAATGTTAAATATATCAAATGACATCAAAATCATTTTGAATGACTATTATTAAATACTGCCATAATCTTTTTATAGTCGCGAAACTGCAATTCAAGCTATAGAAGCAAAATTGAAGCTGATGAAAGAATCAGAAGAAGAATTTGAATTGAATAAACCTTTAAATGGATCACCTATAATACATATGTATCAAAAGCCAGAAAATCCAAAGCCGTCCACATCAACTCGTTATCATAATAGAAGTAGCCATTATCACAGTAATAAGCCATACAACCGCCACAAACCAAGAAGATAATTCAAATTGTTATTTTTTTTAATTTATAGAGTTACAATTAAAAATAATCATTTTCATCAAACTACATTTGTTCCATGACCATAGTTAACATATTTATATTATTTATATTTTCTATTTAAATAACATCTCTGTATTAAATCAATTTTTTTTGTTATAAAACCTTATATTTTTTAGTTTGTCTTTTTTAATCTGTTTTTCTACTATCAACAATGATTCCTACAGTGGTGCAATTGCACATTAGATACACAAGTATCTTAATTCACTAATGATGTAATGCTTAATATGTACATTAATGTACATGTATTTTCATAATCTATGATATCTTTTTATAATAAACAAATACAATACAATTTAAATACATATTTTATTGTAATACAAAATTTGACCATTCTTTTTATTTAAAATTAAATAACTAAAAATAAGAAAGATATTAATGATACAATTTAAGTAAAAGTAATACTAAATATTTGCTACAATATGCTTTATTTTAATTATAATGTAATCATTAAAACAAAATTATGGTTCTTTCAAACTTTTTTTATGTTTTCCACGCATGTGATATGGTAGGGGTACTATACCAGGACATGGTACTTGGCCAGGTATTATACATATACAGTTCATAGGACAACCAACACCGAAATTAGCAGGATTGTCTTTCTTTTCTTGCACTACATCTTCTTGCATTAAAACTTCCTGTGATTTACCAATTACTTCTTGAAGATGTAATAGTATATCATTTTTAGATTTACTATCTATATCAATTAACATGGTGTTTCCACTCTCTGTATAAAATTGAAACAAAAAAAATACAATTTTAATTGAATATTTACAAATATTTTATTATTTAGAATTTTTAATTTATCATTATTTAATTTAAAGCAGCATAATGTTATGAATATTCCAAAATTTTATATCAAAATAGAATATTTATTTAAGAATGTATGCCATAAAAAATTATATCAGTTTTTGATACATACCATAATAACATTTTATAAAAGGTGTTGGAGTCATATTTTTGAAGGTAATAACTTGTATTTTCGGATTTTTATATTGAATTTGTGACAAATGCCAAAATACAAATTCTCTAAATAAAAAATCAAACTTATTACATATATGTAAAATATAATTTTACAAAACAATACAACTTTTACCTGGCACCCTTATGATGTTCTCCATGTGTATTATAATTAACAGAAAATATTTGTATATCGTTTTTCAAAATTAATTTACCAGCGTTCAAATAATTTAATGTTCTTCGTATAGGTGCTTTACCAATCATAAAAGGCATTTTGACTATCTTTTTAAATTAAGAAATAAATAAAACAATGATTCATATCTTTAATGTCTTTTTTTTTATCAATTATCTAATTTAATATTAATCAACCTAAAATAATGTTAAAAGTAATAAAATTTATTATTGGCTATTAGCATGCACTTTATAATATTTTACAACATTATTCAAATAAATTAAGAATATGGAACACTTAATTTAAATTTCAATAACAAATATTTTTAATAAAAAGAATATTATTATTGTTTATATTTTTCATTGAAATTAATAATTTTTTACTAACTTACTACTATAATATTTCATAACCTCATATTCGACTCAAGTTTACAGATATTGCGATGATCAAATTTATTGAAATTACTTTTGGTTATGTTAATCTTAATTTAAGACTACTTTTTCTTTTGCTATTATGGGTCACCTAACCGTTAACGCAGTCAAGGAACTGGAGCTACGGTATAATCTGATGCCGGTACGTATTGCATATGTATGTGTACATTTATTTTCCTTTCTCTTTTGAAGTATCTTATCACTAGTTGTTATAAAGCCCAGTTATTTTAATATAAATTTCCATACTTAATTTCGGGTGAGTTTACACGTTGTGCTTCGTGTTTATGTTTCATAATTTTATAGTATCGCAATATGAACAATAATTTCAAGAATAAAATATTGTTCAATTAATACTTGTCATTTGGATATTTTGTTTTATTTAAATATGCAGTGCAACTTGCTTCCATATGTTCGAATTATTTTACGAAAATTTTATCATGTATCATTTAATTTTAGAAAGAAAATAAAAAAAAAGACAAAGGAAGAACAGTAGATCAATATGACTGTAATTATGACTGCCAAACAAATTCGACAAGCTTATATTGAATTTTTTAAAAGCAAAAATCATGTGTATGTACATTCTAGTTCTACAATACCACATGATGATCCAACATTATTATTTACAAATGCTGGAATGAACCAGGTATTATTGTATATTAACAAAATTATTAATTCAAGTTATTAAAATATATCGTTCATTTACTTGTTTACTTTAATTTGTTTTAGTTTAAACCGATATTTCTAGGAACAGTAGATCCTAATAGTGATATGGCAAAATTAGTAAGAGCTGTTAATAGTCAAAAATGTATTAGAGCTGGAGGGAAACATAATGATCTGGATGATGTTGGAAAAGATGTTTATCATCATACATTTTTTGAAATGATGGGTAACTGGTCTTTTGGAGATTACTTTAAAGTAATACACTAATCATTTAATGCATTTTTTATTGCAAAATTATTATTCTAATTTTTATATTTATGTCTGATTTTGTAGGAAGAAATTTGCACTTGGGCTTGGGAATTTTTAACTATTAAATTAAAGTTACCAACAGACCAATTATATGTAACTTATTTTGGAGGAGATGAAAAAAATAACTTAAAGCCTGATGAAGAATGTAAACTAATTTGGATTTCTTTAGGGTAATCAAATTTAATGTATTATTCAGTTTGTATAATATCAAAGATTATTAGCATACCTTTTAGAAGAAGGCACTGTAAATAACTTTTCTGACTTCCATAGTCTACCTTCTAGTCACATATTACCAGGAAGTATGAAAGATAATTTTTGGGAAATGGGAGAAACAGGTCCATGTGGACCATGTAGTGAAATCCATTATGATCGTATTGGCAATAGGGAAGCTGGACATTTAGTAAATCAAGATGATCCAAATGTTTTAGAAATTTGGAATCTTGTATTTATACAATTTAATAGGTAATTAACTAATAATAAATAAAGTAACTTTCAATTTTCTAATATTGTGTATTATTTCAGAGAGATTGATGGGAACTTGAAACTATTGCCAAAAAAACATATTGATTGTGGTTTAGGCTTGGAAAGATTAGTATCAATTATACAGAATAAACATGCAAATTATGATACAGATTTATTCATACCACTCTTTGATGCTATACAAAAAGGCACAGGAGCCCCACCTTATCAAGGAAGAGTAGGCATAGAAGATAAAGATGGAATAGATATGGCATATAGAGTTTTAGCTGATCATGCAAGAACTATTACAATTGCTCTTGCAGATGGAGGTATACCTGACAATACTGGTAGAGGGTGAGTTTTATTATATTTATTTATTTACTTATTTATTTGTTTTTATTCATTTTTTAATTTATATATTTTAACTATATGTTAATATTGGTATCAATAAAATTTTAGATATGTGTTAAGAAGAATTTTGAGACGTGCTGTGCGTTATGCAATTGAAAAATTGAATGCAAAACCTGGGTTTTTTGGATCATTGGTGAACGTTGTCATTGAGCTTTTTTGTAATCATTTTTATTTTAATTTATATAATTTAAAAATATTATATATGTATTATCTTGCATTAAAAAAAATATCCTTTTTTTTTCAATGGAACTGTAGGTGATGTTTTCCCAGAAGTAAAAAAGGACCCACAGCATATAATAGATATTATTAATGAAGAAGAAACTCAATTTCTTAAGACTTTAACACGTGGTCGTAATTTATTAAACCGTACTATAATAAAATTAGAAGCAAATATTCTCCCAGGTGATGTTGCATGGCGTTTGTATGATACATATGGTTTTCCAGTTGATTTAACCCAACTTATGGCTGAGGAGAAAGGATTGAAAGTAGACATGATTGGTTATGAAGAAGCAAAAAAACAAGCTCAGGTACTATATAAAGAACTTAATGACATTGCTTTAAAAATGCATTATTTGTAAAATAATTAGAATTACTTAATTTATCTTAGCTCATTTCCCAAAGTAAAAGTGATGGAGTAGATGATCAAATTAACTTAGATGTTCATGCAATTACTGAATTACAAAATGAGGGAATTAAGCCTACAAACGATTTACAAAAATACAATTATAAAATTACTAATAATAAAATATATGAAGAGTATGAATTTGTTCCATGTTCTGGTACTGTAATTGCTCTTAGACATGCAAAGACTTTTGTCGATGAAGTATCGTCCGGAGAAGAAGTTGGAATTTTATTGGATCAAACTAATTTTTATGCAGAACAAGGTGGCCAAATATACGACGAAGGATTTTTAGTGAAGATTGATGATGAAGTAAATAAATAACACATTTAAATTTTCGTATACTTATGTTCAAATAACAACCTTTATCTTTCAAGGACACTGAATTATGCATAAAAAATGTTCAAGTCAGAGGTGGTTATGTTTTGCACATTGGAACTGTAGGTCAAGGAAAATTAAAAAAGGGAGATAAAGTTTCTTTAAATATAGATACTACACGAAGGAGACTTTTAATGAGCAATCATACTGCAACTCACGCTCTTAATTATGCGCTCCGTAAAGTGTTAGGTACAGAAGTCGATCAAAAAGGTTCTTTAGTTGCACCAGATCGTCTTCGTTTTGATTTTACAAATAAAGGTTCGTCAAAAAATAATCATAAAAACTAGAATAGCAAAATATATCTCAAAATGTTTTAAGAATCTATATATACTATATATATTTATATATATATTATACTATTATATATTTATATATATATTATACTATTATATATTTATATATATATTATATATATTTATATATATATTATACTATTATATATATTTATAGGAGCTATGACTATGGAACAAATAAGAAAAGTAGAAGAAATTACATGTGATATGATTAAAAAAAATGAAAAGGTGTATGCTAAAGAAAGCAATTTAGCACTAGCAAAAACTATTCAAGGTTTACGTGCTATGTTCGAGGAAACATATCCAGATCCTGTAAGAATTGTTAGTATAGGTATACCAGTTGAAGATTTAGAAAAAGATCCTTTAGGTCCTGGTGCATTACAAACTAGTGTAGAATTTTGTGGTGGAACGTAAATACTTTTAATCCATTCAATAAAAAACATTGTAAACAATAAACATTTTTTAATTTCAATATTTTCTGCAGGCATTTACATTATACAGGACATATTGAAAATTTTGTTATAGCAAGTGAAGAGGCTATTGCTAAAGGTATTAGGCGCATAGTAGCTTTGACTGGTCCTGAAGCAACAAAAGCTCTAAAGAAAGCAGCTGTATTACAAAATAATTTAGATCAACTTCAAACAACTATACTAAGTAACAAAACTGGTGTGAATACAAAAGAACAAGTAAAAAAAATAGTCGAATTAACAGATGATATTTCACATGCCATTATTTCAAGTTGGAAAAAGGTATACATATTTTTGTATTATTTCATTTTACAACCATAATGAAAATAAAATAATCCATTTAAAATATAGGATAAAATGCGTAAAGTGTTAAAAGATTTAAAAAAAGCACTCGATGATAAAGAACGTGTAACTAAAACTGCAATATCTAATGCAGTAGTAGACACTATCCAACAAATAATTCAACAAAATGTTGGGTGTCCAATATTGGTTGAAGTACTACAAGCATATAGTAATACAAAAGCTTTAGATTCTGCTCTCAAAAAAATAAAGACAATATCACCAGAAACAAGTGCATTACTTATAAGTGTAGATCCTGAAGCTAACAAAATTTTTGCACTTAGTTCAGTATCTAAGGTAAAAAAAAAATGCAGACAGCAAAATAAATTATTTAAAAGATACTTTTATCATATTTTGATAGTATTTTTATTATTATGTTTTATGAAATATAACAGTCTGCTATGAGTAAAGGATTGAAAGCAAACGAGTGGATTCAAGAAATTGCTCCGCTTATGGAAGGGAAAGGTGGTGGAAAACCTGAATCTGCTCAAGCTTCAGGTACTAATACATCGTGCGTAACTAAATTGCTATACAATGCTAAAAATTTTGCAAATTCAAAGCTTGGAGTAACAGGTAAAATCTAATGTAGTACTTATCAGTATAAATATGTTATGAAAAAAAACTTTCTTTGAATACAAAATATATTTTTAGAAGATAATATAACTGAAAATCACAATGAATTGAGAAATGATAAAAAATTTGTATGTTCAAAAATTTTAAAAAACAAATTAATACTCTCAGGTAATATTGGAAGTATTATGTGCTATCGAACTCAAATAGTAGCTAAATATAGTAATACTGAATTGATTATATCACAATATAAAGATGATGATGTTAAGATCAAACTAGAAGGAAATGATTTTAAATTATTTGATAGTAATGCAATTATGTTGTATTTATCAAATGACGAGTTAAAATGTTCAAATAATCTTCTTGCATTCAGTGAAGTTTTACAATGGTTAAGTTATGCAGATCATCACATTTTTCCTGCAGTAATTGGATGGGTTGCGCCATGTCTTTCAAAAAATGTACCAGATAATATGAAAACAAATATTAAAGCATCTAAAGAAGATGTTCTTTCTTCTCTAAGAAAATTAAATGATATACTGTTAACAAAAACTTATTTTGTTGGAGAAAGAATTAGTCTTGCAGATATTGCTGTTTTCACTTCCTTAATGCCATTATATGAACATGTATTAGATCCAATATATAGAAAACAATATACAAATTTAAATAGATGGTTTTTTACAATCTTAAATCAGTCACAAGTAGTTAGTGTGATAAAAGATTTTAAGGTATGTGAAGAAGCTTTAATTAAATAATAAATGTTATATATTATTTTTGAAATAAATAAATGTTTTTTATTAACAAATTATTGTTTATTGTTTATTGTAAATATATCCTCCTTCTCATATACTATTCTTATCTTTCTTAATAAATTATATATATTTGTACCCATCTTAGCAGAAATTGGAACAATAGGTAATTGAATTTTCTGCTTAAATATTTCCAATTTTTCCTATAATTATATAACGAATTAAGTAATTATGAAACTATTTACTTTTAGAACAACATTAACTAGAGAAAATACTATCTAACCATTGCTCCTGGTAAATCTATCTTGTTTGCTACAATAAGAGGTGATTTTTTATTTAATTGTATATTGAATTCTGTAATTTCATATCTTAAAGTTTCAAAATCTTCCCATGGTTCATTAGAAGTAACATCAATAATAAATAATAAAATTTTACAACGTTCTATATGTTTAAGAAATTGTATACCAAGACCTTTATTTTTATGAGAATCAGGTATAATGCCTGGCAAATCAGCCACTTGAAAATTAATAAATTTATTATTTAAAAAATAATTCAAATAAATTATTAAGTAATTGCTAATATTATATTACCAACCTGCAATTTGCTCATAATCATCATATAACACCATACCTAAATGAGGTTTTAATGTTGTAAATGGATATGCGGCAACTTTTGGTTTGGCTCTAGATATTGCTCTTAGTAAGGTACTTTTACCTGCATTTGGAAATCCAATCTAATACGAAAATTTGAAATATTGATAGTTTTTAATTATATTTTTATAGACAGATAAGAATAATGATATAGTTTATACTCACTAATCCTACATGTGCTATACTACTAATTTCTAATACATATTGTAAATCTTCTCCACTTGCACCATATTCACTTATACGTGGAGATTGCTGTGTATCTGATTTAAAAAATGCATTTCCGTGACCACCAGCACCACCTCGGGCAGCAATAAACATCATTCCTTCACGATTTAAATCAGCTATTATGTTTCCTTTCATATTACGTACTATGGTACCCATAGGAACATGTATTAAGGTATGTTCTGCATTTTTTCCAAAACAGGATTTATTATAGCCTTTTTCTCCATTTTCAGCTTTAAGAACACTACTTATATGTGATAGATCTGTAACATCCAATGTTGCCTGTAACATTTTAAATATACATTCTTTATATATTAATTTTCAGTACTATTTAGGTTTAATTCATTTTAACAAATTATTTATTTTCGACCTTAAGAATTACATGGCCACCATGTCCACCATCTCCACCATCTGGCCCAGCAAATTCATTTGACCATAATTGTAAAAATGATATATTGCCATCACCGCCTTTTCCGCCAATTGTTCTTATCTACATATTAATGTAGATAAATATTCATATTAAACGTAATTAACTAAACGTAATTAATTAAAAAAGAATTATTTCATACCTTCTTCAAATCAACAATACTCCTTTCTATATTACTCTGTGTCTTTGGTTTCATATTACGTAAAGGTTTAGGGACATTTTCTTGTTCTTCAGATGTACAAAATGATTTAAATATTCTTTTATTTATGCTTTTACATCTTTTAGTACCTATAGTGATAGTATACACAATGTTCTGTTTCCAAAGAGAATTATACATAATTATATTCTTTATTTTATGAATACAATGCATCTGAAAATAAATTTACAATACAGTACATTTTTAAATGAAAATAAAGAACAATTTAACAAAGAATTATATTTCCTTAATATACATATAATAACACTATCTTGACACTGAAACATTTAAATTATTTTCCAAAATATTTGCTATTAAATTTTGATGTATATCAATAACTCTTTTTCTATATAAAGGTAATCTATCTGATTTATAACTTATTCTATATGTCCTTTTTTCTATTTTTTCTGAAGTTTCATATAATCCTATAAAATTAACATCATTTATGATATGTCCTGCATGATTATATAATAACACATAAAATTTAATAGGATCAAATTTTTCATAAACACTAAAAGTTATGTCAAATATATATGTATGAGTATCTACATTAGTTGTATTTGTGTATAACATATTTGCAGTTGGATTTGTATCTTTCCATGAAAAATTATTACTATTATATTGCAGAATATTTATTTTTTCTTTAGGAGCAATATTCAAACTATTTGGTGGTTCAGATTTTATAAATATATGAGTTAAAGCTCCAGCAGAATGAAATTGTTTATTCAAGCTACGATATCCAGTTGTCATATAATTTTGAAAAGCTGACCAATCAAATGGATTAATTGTTATTAATACAAAATTTCCATGAGCAGCCATTTCTGTAACTTTCCATGAATCGTCCCAACGTCTTGATGGATTATCAAGAGATGTACCACCCTGACCATTACATAGTGTAACTAATACTTGACCATTACTCTTTATTTGTTCTGATGCACTTATAAAAAACTGTTTCAATAATTTTCTGTTTCTTTCTATTCGCATTTTACCACCAACATGGGGAAAATTAAAAATAATTTTATTAAATAATTCTGTTTTTAATATTGGATGCTCTTTTAATTTTGTTGCATCAACACCTAATAATACACGAACTCCTAAAAAAAATATTATATATTTAATTAAGTTAACTACAATATAAAAAAAAAATCTTAATTATTTTTAAAATATTAACCATTATTTTTTAAGTATTGTATGTTTCTCTCTGCAATGACTTGATTAACTTCAGCTTCATAACATGTTGTAGTAATATTAATTTTTAAATTAAGATCGAACAGTGCAACAGAAAATGAAAAATTACCTTCTCCAACTAAGAGTACACGATCATTTTCACTAAATATAGTAAGTTTCATAATTTCAATAAATCAAAGTATTATAATTTAAGTGCCATATTATCACTGTTAAAATGATAAATTTATATTAATTTACATATACTATTACGTATTTACTAACCTTTAAAACTTAGCTAAGTAACTAACCTTAACATAAATAATATAGTATTGATGAATATAAAAATTATACTTTATGAATGTAAACGCTCGAAAAAAATTAATTTTCCGTTTTACTATTTATGATAATATATTAACTTAACCTACAACCTTAACAAATATAAAAATTGGTTTCTAGTAAAATAATTTCAATAAAATTGATAATTTTAAATATTATCACATTGGAATTTGAACAATGAAAAATATATTTTTTTTCAAATATATTCTTCGAGTAAAATACATAATGCATAATGTATTCTTGTTACTTTCTTCTGAATTTTACCTATGAAATATTTAAAAATCAATTAAAAATATAATGTTTATTAATCTCTTATATTATTAGTTGATTTAAGTACATAAAAGGTTCACATGAAATATCATATAAAAAAATCAATAGATCATAACAATATATTTAAATTTCTATGATACAGAAATGTATAAACTAAAATTCTTACTAAATGTTTATAAATTCATTTTTTTATTGAAAATTTGTATTAATGTATCTTGTTTATATTGTTTAATTTAAATTGCTTTTTATTGTATTTTAATTATCCTGTATTAAGAAATTTAAGAATTACTAGTAGTACTATTAAGTGGTTTACTGAACACTAACTATATTACAATACAATAATTAATATGTAATATTATTTTTTGTATTATTTAATATCAAATATGTATAAATTTATTAAAAGAATGTATTGTTTGGATGACATATAAGAAACCGTAAGCATTTATGCACAATATTAATGTGCTAGTTGATTACGGAAGCAATTTAAAATAAACCTTGTGGTTTGCTTATATATTTGGCTTATAAGCGAAAGTTTGTGACATAATAGTACGACGAATGAATGAAACTATTTTTATACGATAGTTCGATGAGTCTGTTATAAATTTAGTATCATGAATTCACCGTATGATTCTGTTTTTACGTACATTGAATATATACGAAATGCTAAATTTCTTACGAAGATTTAACTAAGCTCATCAAAATAAATTAAATTTACTTAATTGATTATTATTCATTAACCTATAATGTATTAAATAAATTTATAAGTAGATACCTAATAATATATATACAAATTTATTCTTAAATATCCAATGTCTTTTTGAATTTGTAAGTACTTAGTAGCATTCATGTAGAAATAAATAAATTAATTATGCGTATGCATACTTCTGAAATAAGTATCTGAAAAAGTTGAAATCGGGTTAGGTATATATGTACTTTCATACAATTCGTAATATCGCAGCACGCAAGTCCGTGAACAACTGATATGTATTCAATCCGTAGCAAAAAATATTAACTTGTGATTTGTCATTGTAGTATATGTTGTACCTTGTGTATTGTACCTTGAGCACCTATAACATCATGTCGTCGTGGTTATGTCGTCGACATGCATAGTCGATTCAGTGTTTTTTGAAGTCAAGGGAAATCTAGACCGATTATACACGATATTACTAAATTTTAATAGTAAGTTATAAAACATCATATCTGAGTCACTGTTCACATAGTTATATGGATAGCTTATTGTTTATCGAAAATATCATTTTATCATATCGTACTATAGTAGAGATTTGGCATATCTTTGTATGTTTTCTTAATTGATAAGCAGAATATTGCAAATATAATTATATTTGATTGTTATCTAATTTATAAATCGTTTTATGGAATTATATACTAGAAGAAATTTAATTACAATAAAAAATAAAATTTTAAATTAGAAGAAAAAAGTAATGTATTTAATTTTAAATATACACCTTTTTTTTATAATAATGCATAAATAATTGAAGTTAATAAAAATTAAAAAAATAAGTAAATAAATATTTGTTGTATATATTTTTATTATATATAATATATACATAATAAAAATATGTAGCTTTAAGTATTAAATTACGAAGTTGTAATGTACAAGAGGAAAAGGGAATAAATTTAAAAGTTATTCAACATAATAATAAAGAGTTGACGAAGGCTGGTAGATTAAATTAGATTATCTTATGTAATAAGATCTATGTTAATTATATAAAATTAACTTTGAAAAAATAATTTATAACATTTTCGTTCATTTAATTTTTTAGATCAATTTTATTAGAACGTATAAATTATATGCCAAAGATATACGATAATAATTGTCATTTTCATAACGATGGCAATTATAAAATGAAAGAAAAAAAAATTAATTGATGAAAATCCCTGAAAGTTGTTAAATAAAAGCATCTTTTTTTCTTTCAAATCAATTTCTAAGTATCAATCGCACTTGAGTAATTCACCTGTATGTATTTGCACGCTTACCAGTGAAACTGTATTGTTAACTCATGTTCACATAGCAACTATCCATTGATTCAAAATTTATTGTTAAATCACGCAATGTGAATCTCAAATAAAAATTACTGAAATTTGTTTGTTATTGATTTTCACTATTTGGATTTTATTACTTCTTCAATAACAATAAAATTGATGAGAAAAAGAAAAATATTCGTTCCTTTGTAATTGACAACCGCCCCTTGTACATACATAACGCGCTTATCACGGTTAAGAATTTATGTCAACCGAAGTTTCGCACTTCTGAGTTTATTTTGGCATTATTGTAACTTGGCAACTAGACTAGTCGTACAAGGCTAAAGGAAGAACAGAACCTCAAACAGATAAATTACGAAGAAGATTTTAGTAAATATTATAAAGTAGTATACTCATTATAAAGAAACTAACCGAAATGTTGAAGTTTTTGTTAGCGACACTGCTTTTTTTGTAACTTATCACTGTCAACTAACCATCTGTATTTAATTCACACGGTAAGTACAGAATTCAATGTTTTTATGTATTTATACATAGATGATTGCGAGCTCGATACCTCTATTAAAAAATCGGTTTAATGATAAGATAATCGATTGCTTTCGATAAAGTATCAATAATTTTCTATTAAGCTAAGTTGGAATCTATTTATCAAATTTAGCAATGAAAATTGCTATTATAATATGACTGTTATTATACGTGATAGTATGTTATCGTGTGTCCTATTACTTATTACGTGATCACAGCCCTACATATCTCCGTGATATAACTCATGAAAAACTTAGAAGCTAGCATTCGGTCGATCTACCTTTAAATAAACTATGAGTGTTCCGTGAGATATCACGTGTCCTAGTCAAAAGGACTTTTAGGTCATATTAAACTTAATGCTTAAGTACTTGTTATTGAAGGTCTACAGGTTCTTCACCTGTATTGCATACAACATACCACATAGGTATGCGACTATGAGTTCATTTATGTTTTATAACATGTTATTATGTTGTTTGTTGTTACAAATCCGTAAATTCATTTACAATTGTAATAAATTTTTGTTTTTACATGACAGCAGTTTAAATAGCAAGTTATAATTCATATAAAATTTATTAACAAAAATATTTCATTGTAATATTTAAAAATGTAAATTGTACTACTAAATCTACCGTTCATATTTACAATTATCCATTCAATTTTGTAAATTTAACTAACAAGTATACAATATTTAACAACATAAGAATGTTGTGTTACACACACGAATAGTTATGACATGTTGCACATTTAATCGATGACGTTTTACCTATAGTTCTATAGCCTTATATTCACGTGCGTCTTATATTTATATTATATTTTAAGTAATTATAAAATAAATCTTATAGTTGTATACAGTTCATAAATCATAGAACAATATATACTAACGAAATTAGTTTTATTAAAATAAAGTGAAAAAGCAAATAACTTTCACAACTTCAAAAATCAAAACAGAATTCGATTAATTTATCATAATATTATAGTTACATATATACAATTGCAAAGAGTGTAATAACAATTTAAAAAATAAAATCGTATGTGATTTCAAATAACAAAGGGAATGAAAATACAACTGCAAGAAATTATCCCACCTCAACTGAACGGAACTCTTCTTATGTCTAGAAGTGGTAACATCAGGGAGGGTAACCGCATGACGGCGCCACGAGAGCGTCGCGACGCGAGCTATGGTCGTCAGGCGGCGCCGGTCGTTCGTCACGAAACGAGGCGGGGTTGCAGGAGAAGCTCTTGCATGAAGGAAGAAAAGAGGCAGCCAATTCGTGTGACGTGAACTCGAGCAAAAGAGAAAGAACTGAGGAGAATTGTGAACAGAACAGTATAAGGCATACAGCGAAACTAGCGCCTCCGTTTGTACGTTCTTTCGTTAATTTCATACCTATCGGCTTATGAAAGAGAAACACGGGTTCCTAGAATTAAATGCCAAGTCGTGACAACGTATCTCCTCAACTCTTTCGTCAGTTATTCCCACCTTCCTCTTTTTTTTATACACATTCGCTTCTTATCCTCTTCAATTTTACGTCCTTATACTGGTGTTTGTCATTTACGAAAATATACAAAATCCGAACCTGTTACTACCAGTTTTTTGTGGTGATATCATGGTGTAGCAAGATTTAATCAACGAAGGAGAAGAAAACTTGTGCATGAAACGATCCGAATGTACATGAACATCATGCGTGCTTTTTTTACATATGTACGTGTTATATTGGTACGATGTACGATAGTGTCTCGTCGTAGGTCTCTTTCGATCCTACCAGTGACTAATTGAGCGTGCAAATTCAGCAACTTTATGGCTGGACAATGCATCGACCAGGATAATGACCGAAAACAGAAACATCAAGAAATTCTCTTAGTTCTATTAGGATTTTCTACCATCGTCCCTCTCGTCTCCTTTATGGGTATGCCCTACCTGATGTTTAATTCGATAAAATTACATTTATGAAGAGAGATAAACATGTTTTAGAAGTTTGATTTATGAGAATAAATTTTGATATTTGCACATAATTCAACTCTTTCTATACTTGATTACAAATATGCACGTGTCGTGCGCGTGTGGTGAACGCATAGAGTGCAAATCTGCACGTATGCGTAACCATGCACGCCGGTTTAGAATATTTATGCGTGCATAACTTGTTAGAAGAGAGAATAATGAAACATTAACAAATTTCTTATTTGCAGAGATGAGTATAATGAAGGATGCAACGATTTATTTGTCATAGTGTCACATTACTTTCAATTTCCTTATAATTGTCACGAGTAATTAATTTGCTATTAATTTAAACAAATAATATACGAAATGCATTCAACGTTTTATAAAATTCAACTATTAAATTTTTATTTATATGTACATTAATAATAAACATTAAAATATTATTTATTATAAACACATCTTAAATAATTTTATATTAATTAATACAGGTCACTTTTCTATAATCAATTTTTTTTTAAATATTAAATTTCTCAAAGATCTAAATTTTTTACCAATATCAAGAAATATATATTTGACCAATAGCAAATAGCTTAATAAATTAATAATGTTACACAGTGCAAAGTAACTCTTAATTATTTCGATTAGTATATACATGTTAAAAATATGGGCAACTCGATATATAATCAAAATTATTTCTTAAACTCGTGTTAAAGCGAAATTAACCTACTTTGTCGATATCCACATACAGATTCGAATTGAACTTTTATTATTGCACAGCTTAGATATTTGTAAATTATTATTTTAATTTCTTTTTAAACATATTATAAGATAATATGTATTACAATTAACATTATGGCTACACGCTTACAATTTTTGTGATGAAACGATATGTTCGGGGAAATATTTATGTTGTATATATAATTAAACGATTATTGATACTGATAGATGTTATATCCGAACCATACAATAATACGTCAATCATTCTAGTTCAATTTCACGAAATGAATAAAAAAAATTGTTATAAATATTATGTATGTAATTATATTGTTTTCTTAAAGTTGTGAATCAGAGATTCATGCTATGGTCACTACGGTAATCAATATTATTCCTACTAATTTCTTCATATTATAATTGAAAACAAACAATAAATCGTTGAATTAAAATGATTTAAAATTAAGTTATATTGGAAAGTGAATACATTTTAATTGATTACGTTAAAAAAAAATTTGTATATAACAAATATGTTGTAATATTATGTTTTATTGTTTAATATTATTACTATACAAATTTTTCGAACAATTTCATATAATCAGTGATATATTGATAATGTGAAATTTGTGAATAATGAATTGAATAATGTGATATTTTATTAGATAAGACAGATTCAGTATTTTGGATTGTCATTTTAAACACTTTCATGATGTTCATTTCACATTAACTAATTACCCCGAATTATACTTCGAAAATTAGACATTAGAAATCAGTTAATTAAAATTACAATCCTTGAAAATAATTATATGTATGAAAATAATTATATTAGTAAAATTTTGTAAATTGAATATATAATTTTTAATATATCTTTTATAAATAATTTATAATATAAAATTTACTTATGCTAATAAGCATTATAAAAATTTGAAATTATATATAAATTTTTATACATTATATATATCACATATAAATTATTTATTATGTTAATAAATATCTTTCTGTTTTTCGTAGCACAAATTTCATCGAATGAGGCTTCGGATACAAAAAATTCAGGATAAAGAGAAAAAATACACAGTAACAACGAAAAATTTTTAGATCAACGAATAAATAATGTAATGATTGTAGTAGCAAGAATTGTACAAAAAGCAGATGGATCAAATGATAGATAATGAGGAAATACATCAAATAATGCGTAATACGTTATGGCCCTTTCTGCATACAAAATTTAAAAGATCGTCTGTATTTTATAAAAATATACTCGATAGAGTATAAATCTTTTATAACGATATATAAAAGCGCACCGTTGCCTTTTTCATAATCAACAAAAGGAAGCCTTGCAATGTCAAAAAGAAGGCAATCGCTATGAAACAAGACCGATTCGTAAAAGAAAGACACATTCAAGTTTGAATTATTTAACGAATATTCAAGATAATTGTGATAATAATTATGGATGAGATAAAGGTAGCGAACTTGGGCCAAGCGGCATCAGCCGCGTGCTCGATGGCTACAAATTTCTTGGCGCCAGTGAAAACCGAACGGCAGATCTACGAGAATTCGATGCTCGAGGACGATCCCAATGCCAATTCGGTGGTGTCAACTTCACAGGAGGATAGGACCGTACCGAGATGGGGTCCCAATCACAAGGGTGCTCAAGAACTGGCAAATCTTTATAGCACTGGTAATAATTTTAGTCATCAAATTTTTATTAAAAAATTTTTAATAACATTATAATATTTATTAATATTTCTAACAAATTCAAATATATATTATATATGATAATATATATTGATAATTTGATTATATTTAATGTCAAAATTCAAAAAAGGTATATAAGTGACACATATACATATCATATGTATGTTTTCTGATTTTAATACTTGCCAAGATACTGGCTATACATTGGTCACACCTTGGAATTCTCGCCTATGAACAAAAATAAAGAGTGTCTAACAATACATATCTCTATATCTATACAGAACAATACTTATAGTCATTATTATGGTACTCATATCCAAAGATTTTACACTTTATGGTAAAATTACACATTTTTTAAATTTCATTGATGTTATTGTAAAATAACGTTTTTGTTATAGGAAAAAGAACACAAGAGTACATTTGTGTTGGCATCTGTATTACACTCATCGTAATTAATTCGATATTTATTCTTATCAGACTACGACTAGAAAATTTAAGCTCAATAGCGATAGCAGCATTTTGCGGTATCGTTACTGCAGATTTTGGATCTGGATTAGTTCATTGGGCTGCCGATACTTGGGGCTCTGTAGAACTTCCAGTTCTTGGGAAGGTAACTTAGAGCTAAATACATCTACCTAATGTACTTAATGTGCCTAATGTACCTATTATGGAAAAAGATTTGAAATATACACATATTGTTTCATCAGTTGTTAAATATAAATATATGTACATTTTCAGAATTTTTTAAGACCATTTCGAGAGCATCACATTGATCCAACAAGCATAACAAGGCATGATTTCATAGAAACTAATGGCGATAATTTCATGGTTACAATTCCATTCCTTTATAAATTAACATGGGATTTTTTAACTCTCCCAGAATCAGAGATACAGCAAAAATTTGTTTGGACATGTTATTGGTTTTTACTTGCAATTTTTGTGGCAATGACTAATCAGGTAATGAGATATAATTTAATCTTATTTTTATATTAGATAATTTTGTATATTTCACAAAAAATTATAAATTTTATGAACATTGTTTTAATTCTACTAGATTTAGTATCAATAAAATGACATAATAGTATCAACATAAAAGACTTTTTTCCAGATACATAAATGGTCACATACATATTTTGGATTACCATCTTGGGTTGTTTGGTTACAAGAACATAGAATTATATTACCTAGGAAACATCATCGGGTGCATCATGTTGCACCACATGAAACTTATTTCTGTATTACTACTGGATGGTTAAATTGGCCACTAGAACAACTTCGTTTTTGGTATATTCTAGAAACTGTAATTGAAAAAGCTACTGGCTGTAAACCCAGAGCGGATGATTTGAAATGGGCACAAAAACGATCTTGAGAATTAATGTATTTTATGATTTTATGCATTTTCACGGATAAAAAAAAGATTTAACGAAAAGTGAAATTTTCCATGAATTTGTAACTTCATGGAAAAATATAGAAAGAAATTTCAAATAGAATATGCTGAGACGAAAGTTAAATCCATATTGTAATTTTTTTCTTATATTTAGCACTACGAGGCCTTTCCTACAAAATAGATAGCGTGATTAAAGACATTTAGTATTACTTAAATATGCTTTTGAAGTTTACACATTTATAATATATATAAATGCAATAATATAAATATGTATATATATTACATAAGAGAAATGTGAGTACGAAATCATGTTTGTGTAATTTTTTAATTATGTTTTAACAATTGGTCTGACGAATCAAGCAATTATACGTTTATGCACCGCACAATCATTACACAAGTAGCACAAATTTAAAGCAAAAGGTATTAATTTAACATTTTATATAATAAGTTATAAAGTATTATAAATCTACAGTCAAAGTACTGCAGTACATTGTGGATGAGAATTATTGTGTACTATATTTAAATTTTAAACACAATGTCCAGTGGCTATAAAATAAAACTGAATGTTAAAAATAAAATGCATTGATATATACATGTATATGCATACTACATGTATTTGTATACATGTACATATATATGTATAAAGCGATATATATGTATACATATATACATATATATATGCGTAATGAATTAATTTAAATTTGTTGCTTACATCTCACACATAAATATAAGCAGTGTAATTTTACAGGAAAGATATAATTTATGTTAATTAATGTGCTAATTTATACTAGCCTAAGCTGCTGTTTAAGTACAATCATCAATTTCCCTGAACCTCTAAAAATTTTTAAATTACAGAAATTCAATAAAAAGTATTAATGTATAATAATATTTTATCAGAAATTAATATTGTCAATTTAACTATTACCTATCTACAGTATGTGAATTTTTATATATTTGAATATTTTTTCTCTTCAAAAGAGGAAATATCAACTGTTGTTCATTAATAAATCTATACATTTTTTAATATATTTTATACAAGTTGTCAGTAATTATTGAGTTGATATCTCTTAAAATTGGCAATCATTTTCAACCTTAATTTAAAATGTTAGATTATATTGTCACAGTTAAAGCTAAAATTTACATAATTTTTTACAAACCAATAGTATAGGAATAGTATAAAAAAGTAATACATTTTAAATTATTTATAACTTGAGTGAAATCTTTGTTTAGTATAAAAACGAGGTTCTTTTTTACTAATTATATTCCTTAGCTTGTGACAAATAATTTAACAAATACAAAAGTTATAAGATGCTAAATATAAGTACAAGTTTTAGGTTCAGGGACCAATTAAAGAGCCAATTGCTCTATGCAGCAGTTTTATAAATAATTGGTTTGATTTGGATAAAGTATACTGATGTACAAAGTAGTATTAGAAACATGGCTGAATTTTTATAACTATTACTAATATAATCTGACAACCTTGATTTTTATATATACTTTATTGGTTACTATCTTAAATGGCTTGTGACTTTCAGTATACTTTATACAGAGCTTTACCATGATGTATGTTCCTTACAAGCAAATCATTAGTAATGTCTTTTAAAAAATATGGTAATTGAAAGACATTACAATTATTATAAGTATCGTAATTGTTATTGTTGTTGTTATTGTTATAAAAAAAGATGTATAAACTTTTAAGAAACTGGTCATATAACAATGTATGCCAGAACTGAAGCTTTCTTTTTATATAGATCTATTTAATAATTATTCTAATAACTACACAATGCAAAATGAAACACAAAAATTATATTTTTGGCTAATTTAATTTTCTACGCAATATATTGATGTCACCATTATTATTACAAACATTGATTACCTTGCAATTTATCATTTTTTTATAAATGAATTTTGCAGTGAAATGTGAGGATAGAATTGTACATTGTGTTGTCCTTATATGAAAATGAGTAAAAAATAAGGAAATAAGAAATTCATTAATCTATCAAAAATGGTTTGAATATTTAATTATGTGCCCTACATAAATATTAATTTGAAATCACAATTTTCACTGTTTATCACAACGAAAAGAAGACTATTGAAACATAAAATATTATATATAAAGGCAGCATAGATGTATGATAATTACAGAACAATTTTATTTATTTAATAATCAATATTGCAACATGAAATATTTTGATTAAAATAGTGTCTCATTTCACATTCCATAAATCTAATTATGTGAAAGTATTTATTGCACTAACATTGAAAGAATTGATTGTATAATTATTTATTTACATAATATTTAATAATAACACCAAACAATTGTTGTTAATTTATAAAATAGTTTATTTAAGAACGATTTCTGTATAGATTAATACAATCATAATGACAGTCAATATAACATCAGCCTTATAACATAGAAACAAAGAGAATTTTATTGAAGGATAATCTTAAGCTTTAATATTTTGAGGCTATATTCACTTTAAAAGTTAGTCTCTATTTTAGAGAGTTCATAATAACAAAAAATTTATGTAAAGTAAAGTGAATTGAATGCTATAGTAAATTTAATATATTATAAGACTAACATTAATAATTTTGACTTTTCAGCAGCACATTTAGATGTAAATATATGTATTTAAGCTTAAATTTATAAAACAAGAAGTTGCATAGTTCCAACAAAAAAAGAAGTTAAAGCTGTAAATATATTGAATTTGATACACAAAAGAACATTTATAACTAGTTCTAATCGCAAAAATTCATACCTATTTTCATATGATTATAAATTGAACACTTCTAATGTAATTATATTGTATCATTATTAAGCACAATTTTTTCCATTCAGTTTTATATTTTTAATAAATAATTTTCCATAATAAAAAATCAAAATGTAATTTCAACAAATATGTACATACTATTTTGCTTGATTTGGTGTAGCAAAAATTGCATTTAAAATTTATATATTAAAAATATACTATACAATAAATAAAATTGTACTATTCTATTATTTTTTACAAATTACAATGGAATTATAAAAATACAAAAAAGGAAATTATTATTTTTAATTTTTTATACTGACAAGTTTGAAAAATCCAAGCTACTTTGCGATAAATATACATGTATATATATGGCGTGTGTGTGTGTGTGTGTGCGCGCGCGCACGTGTGTGTCATGCAGTATGTATATATGTAATATATTCTAATATTACAAAGTACATAGAATGCAATCAAAACTATAATTCTTTTTTGTTAAAAAAGATATGCTTACAGTGAAATTATGCACCATAACTATTTCTTCTTCAAAATTGTAAGTTAATTTTTGGTATTACAAGATCATATCTTGTAATTTTCAATTATAAAATGACTGACACAGAAATTTGCATTTGCCTTATCTGCATATGTTTGGCATATTTAAACATTTTTCTCTTAATGACATAATATAAACAGTGTATGAAGTTCATAATCAAATATGAAAAATCAAGTCTCATGTATCTAAAAGTAGTATTGTTCTATTATTAATATACAATAATGCCTTTGACAATGTCAAAGTGTCAATTTAGTAGTTGTATGAAATCCTAAATTGGTATTTTATACTAATGTAAGAGAAACATACATGCTGTTTGATTATGATTTTACACTATTAAAATTTTCTTCTTTATGTTGGATTAAAAGCATAAAGGAGTTAACAAAAATATGATAATATTTAAAAGAAATATGTTTCTTATAAAAACATTATCTTATGATAACACAAATTTTACATGTTTATAATTTATATAGTAAAATTGGATGTATTCATTCATAAATTCATTGATATTTATTTTAAATATTAATACACTGTACTATAAAATGTTAAACTACAGGAAAAAGCAAATAATTGCTTAATAAATGCAAAATATTCATATATACTTCTTGTATTACTTGTATTATTTTTTCAATTAATTTACAAATTGTTAATAATAAATTATACTTAATAAATATTTCAAAATTCATAGCAATAGAGGTGTACTAATCTCAATATATTTTACTTTTAGTATGTTACATGATAGTATTGTTTGAACATTGTATTTATTTTTAAAAAGAATGAGAAGATTATTCAAATGTACATAAAAAGAAATAAAATAACTTATAAAAGTGCTTAATACTTAATATTTATAAATCAGATATTAAAATAAATCATTACATATTAATTAGTAATTATTATATCCTATACACGTTAAAAATAATTATACTTAATTACATTTAAAGGAAAAGAAAAATATACTGTTTTAATAAGTATTTCATGTACTAAGAAATTGTTTTATTAAGCAAAAGTAATTGTCTCTTAAATATGTATTACATTTATATACGCAATATTACATCATATTTAAAATTGTCGCTAATAATTCACCTAGTGATTGATGCGACGCTAAACAATTGGAAAAAAGAAAATAAAATATAGCATATAGTATAAAACTGATTTCTCAAAAAGATATTAATTTCTCATTATCACAATTATGCGATTGAAATTGAAATTAATTAAATCATACTATTAAAGGAAATATTTATAATTTATGATTAAGAAGAAATTCATATAAATTTTAAATTGCAGTTTCTCCTGATAAAACAGTTTCTTCAATAGTGGCATTATTTCGACGTCACCGCAGATCGATAGCTCTACTCACGGTATGAATCTACAGTATCTTGAGAACGTTCACGGTAATTCGTCATCCATTTCTCTAAACAGTTGGCAGAATTTGTGCGTGCGGTGTGCGCTAGTCTGCCGACGGCGTCCGTTCGTAGGAAAGAGAGAAGACATTGAAGGAGCCCTTTGTCAAATTAAAAGAAAGCAACTTGATTAAGAAGGAAATCAAATAGTTAGAGAAAAGGGAAATCAAGAAAGTCAAGGGTAACAAGGTGGTAGTTCAGTTGCATTTTGGATTTTCTGACCTCTTGAACTCCCCGCGGGTTTTTTCTTTCCCGCGAGGTGAATAACAGTGGTACATAGGTAAACCCCTGACCCCTCCTCTGAAGCTTCGCGCCTCGGCGCCTGGGCCATAT